AATAGCAAAGACTGATAGGGTATTTAGAGATACCGATGATAAGGTGCTAAATGGTTGAAAATAATGATTGGTAGAAAGCTCTGCTTAACCTATGGTCTTGTGGTTGTTGGCACTAGTCAGTAAGGTGTATCGACTGATGTCCCTCACTCCCTTAAGAGATTTGGACCGGTGTTACTGACACGTAGCAACGAGAGGCAGCCAATAGGGGAGTTATTTTCAAGTCATGATCAAATCATGTTCAGGTCGTGGTTTATGCATGCGTTGACATAAGAACTTGATTGGAGAAGTTCGACCTCATACAAGAAATCGGATTGGTTCATTTATGGCTTCACTTTCTGAGAGTTTTGTAAATACATATATGTCATGTATTTGCCTAATACAAGTTGTCCCTGTTCTTGAAGTCACAGGTCGTCTTTGTTTTCTGATTTCTCCGCAGCTCAGTGAAGCAGAACGTACTGAGGGAGGTCAGTCGTAAAACTACTCAGTTGTGATGTCTATTGAGTCTCATTATTCATTATACCCACGCACGCAACCCCACCACTCGGTCACAACAGTCACTTTCAAGGTTACAGATACGCCATGTTAACGACCTCCAGACGATGAACCCCCAACAATCTAACATCAATCAAAGTGCACCGTGATGCTGGGGTCTCCTAGTTCGGTGTCCACAATAAAGAAAAGATCAACAGAATTCGATTAACACTTAGGATTAGAACAACATGAAAATAATTATGAGTGAATTAGAAAACTACGCAATTCAGAACTACAATGCAGGTATAATGATGTATTCTGAGGTCCTGAAACATTGGCGCCAGCAATCTTAGTGATTCTAGGCAGGCAGTAGCTTGAACTGATAGTCAATGGCTAAGTGGATTGTTGAATTTATTTGATTTCATCAGTCCTGGCCTTTTAACCAACTTATTCTTATTCCAGCCAAGATGACGGGGAAAGATAGACGACGGTTCGATATGCTTAACTCATAGCTCAGCTGTGTAGGCTCGAACGAGTAGAAATCTACTCAGAAATCCTGCGCACACTCGTGGAGTAGGCAATGAGCCATACATACACGTATTGTGTGACGGCTGATGATACTGCCTATCTGACCAAAACACACAGTACGTGGAGCTGGGTTCAAACCCGTCATTCGCTGGTTGAAAGTCATTTCTCTGAACCAATGAACCAAAACTCTATGCTTCTGTAAACTACCTAATCATAATTAATGCAGAGACATAAATCATTTCGAAAAAAAGTCATGGAGAAGATGAAGTGAGTTCCTAGGAGGAACCATCGATGTCCACAAATAGAATAAACGTGACAATATTGTAGTTAGCATAACTAGCCAACAGAAGTGAACTACGTAACATTACTTATTCCATGGTAACAAGTAGTACTACTCGGCTAGTTGCATCGCAGCAGAGCGTTGTAAGGTTTTGAAAAGTGAATCATGTTGATTAAGATGAGATTTGATTATTCTGAGGCTGGTTAGAGGAAACTCATATCGTCGACACCGGAAAGCTGTGAGGCAGAGAGGAATGTGCTACTTCCGGGGTTCATCTTGTATAACCACCTCAGTATGGCACTTCTGGTCAATTCAAGGGAAACACCTCATCCAGCTAACAGAAGTACAACATAGCCCTCGGAACCCAATCGAAGTGTAGCAGTTTATATTGCAGCGGTGAGTGCTTTCCGGTATGGCAGAACTCCTAGGAAACAAGCATTCCAGCGAGTATGATCATGCAAGCCTGACCACCATATCAAGGTGGACGCAATCGGTCATCGAACTGTTGATTTACAATCGATTTCAACTGAATCACTGAAATTCAGGGTCAACAAGTTCACATAAACGATATGGAATGCGATTCAATTTATAACATAGATCAAATTAATACATCAGGATAGAAGCATCTGAGTAACTACAATGGGGGGCTTTTGCTGAAAAACACCACTTGTAGTCACGAACGACGATTTTCAATCCTCTTATAGCTTGTAAGCAGGAGGTTGACATTTCTCTACACACATCAGAATAATAATCAGAGAGTAGAATAGACTGACCAGCCTTAGGTTCTGTTGAAGGCAGTTATACTTCAGAAAACAGTACTTCTACGTAGACAGTGGTTGAGTGTGCGCATCCCACATGCTTCATTCTAGTCGATAAGGATTTCTAACCTAATCAAATGAAACCAAGGGGACATTCAATAGTCATTCGTCTTTGTCTAAGAAGCCTAAGACAGACAGACAAATAAAATCAACGAAGGGCCTGGCACATAAGTGCGTCGGTTCAAGTTGTTACACATCCTAGTACCACGCAAAGAACAACGGTATAGAGGGAGAATGATATCAAAGTAGACAGATGGTGAATGTCCCCGAGAGTTCTCTCGTCATTTCGCGGAAGCCAGCCAGTCTACATCTCCCTGCACGGCTCGGGCCAACAGTCAGTGACCTCATAGACTAGTGGCCACGTCTTACTCTGACCATCTTGAACTTCCTTCCAACCTATTCCAACTTCTCCTAGTACTGAACCATTAAGGTAGGTAATGGCTTGACGTGCGTAATACACGTTCAGGTCATCTCAGTCGGTGAAGGTTCACGGCCTCATCAAATGTCTTGCGTAGTACCCTTTGCCTGACCTCTATATTGCTAACATGGTAATTCGACCGTAGATGAGCAATGCTGCAAGCATGCGTGTGTTCAAAAATCTGTAGTTTCTGTATATCTACTTTCAAGAACCACGTCTCACAGCCGTATAGTAGGACAAAGTGGACTGCAGTGCAGTATACTAGTCGTTTGATAGGTAGTCTGATATCTCATAGTTGGCGCCAAAGATGACGTAAGCTCGCAAATACCAAAGAAGACCTCTATTGGAGCTAAAATTTAGCCGCCAACCAGCTTGTTTGGGCTTATGCAACTCTCCAAGTAAGTGAAGTGGTCGATCCTTAAACTAGGCGCAGTTACAAATCGGTTTTGAAGCATCATCTTACAGCTGACAGGTTCGAAACCAAAAAGACATCGGTTTTCTTGGATTCCTAAACAAGGGTGGGATGTGTACACTCCTGCTGTAAGTAGGTCACTTTTCAACCATTAAAGAGCTTAGTGACTTCAGTAGTGGTGTCTAATAGAGGGCTGTGGTGGATGAAATTAAGTTGCAACAGTGTGAAACAAAACCGAGACACAAGAATCCACAAGTAAACGAAAATTTCGAAGTAAACTAGATGGATTTGTAGAGACTGAATATAAACAACTTCGGGGGATGGGGTTACTCAAGGTGATGAAGTTTACGGTTCTGTACCGTTACATAAGATTTATACAATACATATTGCGAACGAAATCGCTTTATTATTGATAGAACACAAATATGGTACAGTAAGGGTGCCAAGAAATGTGCCACAAAATAGTACTCTACATCTTGTGTGAGGAGTGGGATACTACCCGAGCACCCAGACCAAAATAGGTGATAGTGGAGTTATATCAGGAGCTACATTCCCATGGTTGTCGGTGGTCAAAATTGGTTTATACGCCATGTGCCCATGTGCACCATTGGTTTAGAAGCAGGGTTTTCCAACTCCCCTAGGCGAACCCTAAGTATCCACCAATGCAGTGATAAGCGCCAGACATTGGTTTACGTTCTTTCACATCTATGAAGGCAGTGAACAGGACTTCTTTGGCAGACTATTTGGTACATAATACAGTCGGCTAAATTACTCCTACCTTCATTACAAATCTAAGCAAATGTTTAAAATTATAATTTTATTAGACATGTATTAGTCTTTTCATGGAACCGGTAAAAAATAATACACATAGCCTTCTTATTTCATACGCCTTCATCAACCGGATCTTGATACCAGAGAGTTGGGCATCGTACATCTCTGCTGAAGTGTCAGCTCATCTCCCCCATGATGAGATGCTAACATGTCATTAGAAAATAACGTCATAGCCCCTTTTTTTAACGTTAATGAAATTAAGTAGGTAACCAGCTTTTAATGGAGGTCAGTAGTGAAATCCAGTTCTAATGCATGTTTCGTCCTACCTGAGACTCGTCAGCTAGATGTACCTACCTTTCAGTGAGTGTTGTTATTCCCACTAGGAATGGAACTCGGGATCGATTGCTTCGAACACTAAAGGGTTACCCATCATCATCATCATTATCAACATAGGACCAGGCATTACTGCGTAACAGTCCGAGTTGCCACACCTCATATCAGTACATCAAGTAAAAAGGTAGTGAGGTGAAGGATGAAGATAAGTGAATGCAGTCAAAAGAAATATAAAGTGCGAAAAGAAAGGAAAGAGGAGTGACAAAATGGTGAGAATCGGTATAGTGTCGTTAAGATGAGGATAATGTGTGTTACATCTGCACCACTCATATCGCTTCTCAGCCATGTGATCACCTAGAGTCTCCAACCACTGGTTCCTCTTGTCCCGTGGACCCCAACCACCTAGTCTGCATCGTCCTACATGGCTTAAACCAACAGTCAGAGACTTCATATATTGGTGCCATGTTTTAGTCTGACCACCTCGGGCCTTTTTCCAGCCTGGACCCACCTCAGCCAACATTGTGTGATGAGGCAATCGGTGACTAGGCATACGTAGTGCGTGTCGGAGCCAACCATCTCAGTCCATGAAGGTTCACAACCTCGTCAACTGACTTACCTCTTCTCCCTAAAACTCTACACCTGACTTCTGCATTACTCACATGGTGACACCACGGAATACGGCCTATACTACGAAGCCAACGGTGGTCAAACACCTGAAGCGTTTTTATATCTTCCACTTTAAAGGGTTACCCACTAGACTATAGAGTCAAGATGGCCACTTCTTGTGCAATGGGCATAGTTTTAATATTGTTGCTACCATGTGGATACCTTGACAGTGTCTACTTGAAATCATCTTCGATCAAATCAAATATCATAATTGATATATATGAATTGAATATATAAATAAGGCATAAATTTATCAAAATTGTATAAACAGTTTTCTAAAACAAAACACAATGATTAACTTACTTATATTCATCAGATTTGATGATTTAGTAAAGTCTATATCCTTTATTCTGATTAGAAATGTAGCTAGAATTCCTTTATTCAATTGATTATCATCATTATTATTCATTGATTGTCTTATGGTTGTAGTAAGTCTAGGCGTTGGTAAATAAAAACGATGTGGTAGATGATTTGAGACAATAGGATTACACAGAATCTCTGCTAAATGACTTCGCCATTCTGAACCACTATGAATAATTTCATTATAATCTAAACTAAGTAAATAGCCACCAATTTGTTCAGGATCCACATGATTCTCATTCGATATACGTGTAATAAGAGCTATCAATTGTATTAAGTGTAAATACATAACATTAAATAAAATATTAGGAAACTAAATGAAAGGCTATAAAATGTAAACAAAACAAAGAAAAGATTATTTATGAATTGTCAAACTGAAAAACAATTGAGTGATATTCTAAGAAGAAAAAAAAATGAATAACTGATTCTTTCATAGATTCTGAATTATTCCAATCTCTATGACTTTTCGGGATATTTCTTGTCCAGAAATACCACCAGCAGCTCACTAACAAAAGCTGAAGTTGTGAACGTCATAAAGTTTCTGAAAGCTTGTAAAGCAGCAGGACTAGATGGTATTCCACCAGAATCACTGAAAACAGACACAGACAACAGCAGAAATGCTTACACCACTACTGTAGAAGTTTTCGAAGGAAGGAAAGATACTCTGAGATTAGAAGAAAAGATACCTTGTAAAACTCATAAAGAAGGGAGACCTAAGTCTTTGCAAGAACTGGTGCAGAATCATGCTTCTGTTCATCTCAAGCAAAACAATAAGACATATCATCCTGAAAAGACTAAAAGATGCGTTGGATTTAAAATTATGACCACAACAGGCTGAATTCAGGAAGAACAAATCATGTGGGGATCAAATTGCAACGCTACGGCTATGCATCATCATAGAACAGAGTACAGAATGGAAGTCAACTCAAATCTACCTCAACTCCATCGATTTTGAAAAGGCCTTCCATAGCGTCAACCAACAAGTAATTTGGCAGGCAACTGCTTCAACACAATGGAATACCACAAACATTTATCAAACTCATTCAACAACTATATGAAGACGCGACAGGCCAAGTGATTCACAATGGAAAGCTGAGAGACGCCTTCGAAGTGAGGATAGGAATAAGATAAGACAAGGTTACCTACTATCACCGATGATTTTACTGGTTGTGCTTGACTGGACTGGACGGGATCATGCAGAAAACGATGAGAAGCGAGGGGATGGGTATACTCTGGGTGGATGAATGAAAAGACCCCAGAAGAGGATTTGCATTTCACTGATGATTTGTGTGTAATGTCGCACAAGCTCGAAGATCTCTAGGCAAAAACCAAGAAGTTGGTAGAAGAGGAGATGTGAGTCAGCGAAGAGGGAACTTCCTTCAGGTGAACGTAGAGAAGACAGAGGTGATGAAGACACCCAACCATCAACAACAACATCAAGCACAACAAGCACAAGAAGCACCAATCACCATGAAGGGGGAAAACCTAAACGAAGTTGTCTCTTCCACCTACCTAGGCAGACAGGATTGTTTCAACCACAGGTGACACAGGTACAGATGAGGACGTCAAAGCCAGGATGGGAAAGATAGCAAGGCACGCCTTCCTGTATTAATCTGAGATAGTCAGTGTGGAGATCCACTTCACTTCACTCCACTCCACTCCACTCCATTCAGCATAAAGCGTGAACGAGATCGAGATTTGCAAGACTAATATCAGTGAAGTCATTGCTCTTATGTGTTGGTTGAGAGAGTTGGTGAGTTACGAAAAGCATTTCCAACAAACTGCAGACATACATCATCAACAGCTGCCGTCTACGTTCAGTCAATACTGACACTGAAGATGAGATGGTCAGAATAGTAAGAATAGTTAACAAGGAACTCTCTCTAGCTGGCTGGCAACGAGCCAACCAAGAAGTCACCGACCAAGAAAATATGCAGAGGAAAGTGAAGATGGATTGGGCATACAGTGAGAAGACCATTCAGGGATATCACGTGTCAGGCCATGCCGTGTAGTGGAATTGAGAGGGTAAAGGATGAATTGGGCATCCGAGTGGATGGTGACGTGGAGGAGATGGTATGAGGAGAAACTGAGGGATTGTGGGCAGTGGTGGAGCCATGTTGAGAAGACTGTAGAGAAGAGAGTGAAATGGCGACATGCTACTGAAGCCCTACGTTCCACTAGGAACCCAAGGGACAAATAATATATTGATAACCTGGGTCAAATATGTTCCGATTGTACAGACCTGTTTCTTGACATGACAGGATTACCTCATAATCGTATTCCACAGTGCTGGTTAGTCAAAATTTTGGAGCCTATAAGAAAGCAAGTCTCACTTCATAAAATTAAGCTCTCCTTATTTCCAAGTGTCCTATTGACTGATATTATCCTGTTACATATACGACCATATTGATTCTAATCGACTGAATGTTGAAATATCTACACATTATTTGAAGGAGCTGTTGTTGAGATCCACCTTCCTTTCAATAATGAAATACACAGACAAAAAGAAGGAATACTTATGGGTTCACCACACTCACCTAAGCAGAGTAATCAACCGGTTCGAACTTTATAAGTGATACGTGGATAATACCTTCATCATCTCCAGCAGTATAGATAGTCTGAAAGATATCCTGTCTCAAGTTAATAACTACCACCCTTCAATTAGGTTCACATTAGAAAAGGGAACTTAATTCTTCGATATCCTTTTCAAATGTGCAGTTAACAAGATAAGAAAATGGATTACTTGAAAGGTTTATCCACAGAAAAAGTCACATGGAACAGACAACTTATGAATTTTCATAGTTGGGTGCCTCTATGCACTAAAAAACGAAATCTAATTCGCTCTATATGCCATAAGATCTACACTATCTGCAGTACTGGAAGATGAACCTAATTTCTTCAAAAATGTTTTAATCGAAAACCAGGATCCCGAATGTTTCATTGCTAAAACTATGAAACTGAAAGTAGCATCAGTCCATGAAGTCCGTGATTATTGTACTCAGCAGTGTTGGGAGGTGTAGACTACTGGGCTGGGATCTTCTTTCCTGTCTATCTGTTCTTTATATACTACTGTGAAGTATGGCAAATTGGAATGATCAACTTATGTGTAAGGCTCTACATTGATTCTGTCTGTCATGTATAGCTCCTTGTACGAAGCACTGAACATCACTTATCACTGGTTGACTTTCATACTTCCTACCTATTCAAACCTCAAGTACATGGAATAGGGTTTTCAAATCCCGACTAATTGGTTGGCGAACAAATACCTAAGCTCTATAATAATAATTTAAAATGAATTTCTGCCTATTTATCTTTCCAACAGAATTAATAAATAGTTAAGTACACTATAGAGTATCAACCAATCTTCGTAATAGAGATGGGAAAGGCTATGAACAACAAGTGACTTTAAAGGTCACGCTAGCAACAGCTTCAATAACCAATAAGGTTTTGGTATTTTGGCTGCGAAAAGTATCTCATCACTTGCTACAGTGACCTCATTAAAGTCACTCAGAATAATTCATATCAAGTCATATAACTATTCCCTGTTTCTAGGGTAGAGTTTAGTGTTTGTCATTTCGCTTCAAAGTATCCTGTCACTTTGATAATTATTTAAAATTGAATGAAAGGATTTTTATACTCACTGATAAGATTTGTCATAAAACGGTTAGAAAACGTTTTACACCCGCTTCTTATTTGACAGGCAACTAAATGATTATGTAGATAAATGCGTATTAAACTATGAACTCAACCTTTAATCTAGAAACTGGTCGTGATACCAGTTGACTGTGTAAATAGTTAGAATTCTTGAACTGTCGGTTGAAAGTTTAGTCGAACAGACAGACAGACAGATAAAATAATCAACGTAGAAAGTCGCACACAGGTGTATGTCATCAACAGTCCACAATCATGGCTTTCCATCATCTTATGGAATCAAGCCAGTACTGAGACCATATGAGCTAAATCAATGACTCAAAGCTTTATAGCAAGCTGAACGAGATCCATCATACTGCTTATATTCTACTAGTTCTTCAGCTAATCTTGTTCTATAACATCTTCAGGGATTCTCAATCCGTCGAAATACGAGTCCAGCCAATGGTCATAGGTTAAAGCACTAGATTTCCAAGCAGTAAGCCCTTATTTCAAATACCAATATATTAAGTGAAATAGTTAAAACAACGAATAATATGATGAACTTTCACATGATAGTTGGCGCTCATAGACTAACTAGACAGTAGAGTACATACCTTTTCAGGATGAATTAGTATTCGATTCATCGATTCAAGTACTAAAATGTAGAATTCTAATCTTCAAAAACTCTTTTCCTTTTCAAACGAAGGCCTAGGTCACGACAAAATGTAAACCAGTAACTTCTGAATTACCGACTCAGGGTTTAGCCAAATGAGTCATGAAAGCCAGTTGTTGATCAGCATTCGACTTTTCTTCCGTCATCTAGTATTTTGCTCGTATGTGATGTGAATAAATCATACATAACTGTATTTTTGATTGTATTCATACACTGGAACTCCAATCGGGTCTCCTTCCAATCTCACTAAATAAAGAAAAATTATTATTTTATTATTTGTCCCTTGGATTCCTAATGGAATATAGGGCTCCAGTAGCACGTCTCCAATGCGGTCTGTTCTCTGCAAGCTTCTGAACCTGGCACTACAACAGCCTACAACCTCTCATTTCCTCCTCGCACGATCTCCTCCATGTCACCGTTGCCTCGGACACCCAACTCGTCGCTTCCCATCGGGGTTCCACTCAAGGGCCTGATGCGTATTGTCCCCAGCCAGCCTTTTCAGTGTATGCACAATCCATCTCCAATTCCTTCCACTGCATATTTCTTCAGCGGTAGGTTCCTGCTTCGTTGATTCGTTCACAGAGCTCCTTGTTGCTTATTCTCACTATTCTGGCCATCTGATCGACCTTCAGTATCGAGCCAGTGTAGGCAGCAGTTGTTGATGAATGTCTGTAGTTTGTTGGAGATACCTTTCGTAACGCGCAAACTCTCTCAACCATACAGGAGCACTGACTTCACGTTGGTGTTAAAATTCGGATGTTGTTCACGCTTTATGCTGAGTGCAGAAGATCTTCACACTGGTTTCAGGTTAATCAACGCCTGTCTTGCTGTCTTCCCGATCCTGGCTGGCGTTGACGTCCTCGTCTGTGCCTGTGCCGCCTGTAGTTGAAACAGTGCTGTCTAGATAGGTGAAAGAGGCTAAATGCTAAATGCAAGTAATATAGTTAATAGCTAGAATCCGAAAACAGTACAGTAACTGTCACTGGTCTGGTATCTTAGTGCCTCCATTAACCTGATGCCATGAAGGATTCAAAAACTTTATTAACTTTTACCTGCGAAAATATGGAGTCCATGAATTTAAAAACTTCCTTTAGCAAGAGTTATCAGTGGAAAATTAGCACACTTAACCTCTAATCGTAATGATGGTTACAAACTACGATAACTTAATCGAGTTAGAATTCCTCTAATTACAATAAGTTAACTTAAATTTTGCAACCATTTAATTACCGAGAAGTTTAACTCCTTTCCTCGGTGTTATTAATAAAGATTAAAATAGTTCTACACTCTAATTGAGTTTTGAGGGTGAAGAGGAAAATTAGAGGAAAGTTTACGAGTAATTCTCCTGTAACACAAAACACAAGTCAGAAACTTCTAGAAGGATGGTCAAAAGTCTGTCCGTTGAATATATATATATATATATATATATATATATATATATATATATATATATATATATATATATATATATATATATATCCAACCATGCTTTAAATTGAACTTAAAAGAATACTCATTGTTACTTTTGCATATCTACTCAGGTATGCTGAGTTGAGTATAGCTGAATGAAGTGAAAACTGGCAGGTCATTGACTTAGAATACGTTTACACAGCAGGTAAACCAGTGTGCATATTGAAAGAGGATAGATGGGATGAGATTATGTTAATAGCATCTAGAGAAGCGACAATTTTTACAACTTCGTTAATTAGTAGATAAACAAATCGAGTTACTGATAAATTAAGTAGTCATAATAAAGATAGTATGACTTTGTTAAGGCGTAATACGTCAGAACAAGTCAGAGGAGTAAATTTATTGTGAAGTTTAATGAACATATAGATATTTAAAATGTGGCTAATTGATTGAGAAATCAGTGAAAGTGACCCTAACCAAAACAATGGAACAATAAACATTTATCTAGGAACAATTCAAAAACATGTACAACTAATAGGGGGCTTCAGAGACTGCATATCCACAGACATTGCGAAGAGCGAGGAGATCGACAAGAAGTGGACACTCTAGCAACTTTTTAAGAAAACTAACACAAAATCATCTTACTAACACAATTTAAAGTTGACTCCGGATTAAAGTAGTGTAACTGTGGGGTACTGGTAGGTTTGAATATTGATGAAGCACCTGCAAATTGCGGACATGTATACATCTCGATCAGAATTTACACTTTATCCTGCTACAGTAACGAAGCAGAAGAAAGAAGCTAACAACTAACTTTCAATTGCTGGAATCCTAACTAATTGACGCCAGTGGATGAACTTTTCTGTTAGTTGGCTAAGTAATAACACAAGAAATAATAGTGCAAAACCAACAGACTATTGGATGAATATTATAGGAGTGAGTGATGCACAGAAAAATCAAAATGAGGGAAGGATTAGACAACAATATAGACTATTATGATAGGATTGTCCAAGAACAAAAGGATCGACGAGTCATTGTTAGCTACATGTTGAAGAAAATAACATATTGTAGAGCGGTTGCAGCTAAAGCATTTCGGCTACTGTGTTCAATTCATACAGCCTATAAGTGCTTTGATGAAAATATATTAAAAACACTACATCCTACTTATACCAGGTAATTTTGAAAACTGAATACAAACAGCAAGTCTTTGCCTTTATAAAAACACAGACTTTCTTGAACGGGTGAAAAAGGTAGGTGCTGAGTTAGTGGCAGGATCTCTTCAACTTCCTTTTATGAAAAGCAGCTGGAGAGTTTAATCCCTTTTCCAACATCAGAAACGAGGGGTCTTATTTTAGTGTATCTTATCTTAAATAAAAGCATGAATTTTTTCGCGGTCTTTTTATTCTTACTAATGCTGACTGTCTAAAAAGTCATCATAACAAAGTTCAAAAGCCAGGGTGGAATAAATTTCAAGTAAAAGTCATATTCTCTGACAGAACGGTCAACAACAGGAAACCGTGTTACCCCCTCCCCTAGCGAACACTTTCATGGGGGAGATGGCTCTTCCGAAAGACACATACTGCAAAGATTAACACAAGCTGTCTCGTTTACAACCATTGACACTTAAAACTCAAAAACCATATTGATATCAGATAAGCCAAAAAACAGGATTAGGACTGCCAAACAGTTTTACTCTTCAATTGAAAGTTCCGATGACTAAACATCTACCTTGAGCATTCAAAAATAAAAAAAACCACCTCTCAAACTAATCAATGTAGAACGAATACAGGTATTTTCAATTAACTCACTCGTTGAGATGCACTCATACTCCACAAATAATGTTGGTTCAGCCAAAATGTCAGTGGTAAATGAGCATTCTTTTGCTAATAGTTCCGAAGACAAGTCGGATGAATAATGAACTGAGCTTTTACAGATCGAATGACCAGAACACCTTCGAGATATATTGGCGGTCACATCGATCCAGCAGTCTCTAGCATTGTATGGGCGGCATTTGTTAGTTGATTTTGATATCGACGTAATTTCTCGAAAGTATCCAAAGTGAGCTTCATGAATGACAATAGCTTTTTCCGCACCGCACAGTATGTGCATAGATTCATTATAACACGATAATTCCCACTCTAAACGAATTACAGGCAGATTAATTATGAGATTATTTATTACCAGCTGAAACCCCAAAAATAATGAATATACAGATCCATACTTGGTATGTAGAAGTGATACCAAGAAGCATACTTCATATCTCTAAAACAGCTCTCACACTAACATTTTGAAATCGTGCCATCAAATGAACTTCATATATAAATAATCATATCATATCAAAAAAACAATTCACAGTATGCTTCAGACGCAGACGTCACTGACATTGAAGGTGGTGAAGATGATTCATTTAGTTTACAGACGGGTTTCTGTAGTATACATTTTCATAAAAAAAGTATCTTTTGGCTTTTTATAATCAGATGTCTGTTTAACGAGTTTGTGTATATCTGTCGATTTCTTCGTGCTAGCTTCTAGGTCTTGCGGAATGGTTCTAAATCTTCAGTGGGTTCCGATTCAGTAAACCCAGCCACTCGTTTGCTGTAGCTATGATGTACCTACCTGGTGGTTAGGTGTTGGTTGGTTTGCCTTGAATTTCGGTGCAGTTGGGTACTTCAAACGTCGAGTTGCCAGGCAGCTGTTCGGACCAACCATAAGAGGGAGTTAGGGGGTAGTGAAGAGATAACCTAGGGAGACAAATACGCTTAGGTAAAAGACAAAGAAAACTGAAATGATGGACTACTGTCAGGTAAGACTAGAAGAGTACAAAGGTATGAAGAACTTGTATTGGTGGGGTTAAACCATGGCTAGTTAGAGAGACGGAAAGGGCTTAAGTGGTTGGAGCAGAAAGAGAATTGGTGTAGAGTTTACAGCGTTGGAATGGTGTGAGTTCATTTGCTTTTTCGGTCTATTTCGTATTCCAACTAGATGAGCGTAAACTGTTGGTTACTGAGTAACTGTCCAACCTTTTTTGAAACTATCAACATTTGCCGTGAAGACTACTTCTGTTAGTAATGCACCTCAGCATCCTCAAACTCAGAGGGGGAAAAGCGAACGCAAATGAGTTTTTGACGTTTGGTGAGCAGTTCTCTCAGGGTCTCCACGAGAGCCACCATGGTGGCCACTAGGTAGTACTCCTCTATTCGGGTGCCTCAAGTTATTTGATACTTTTCGAGCCGTTATCAACCCACCTCGCAAACACTGGTAACTTAGACAGCATAGGCCTACATCTCTTAGTCCATCCTCGCATGGGTTTTAGTGAATCCCTACAACACCCTTTGTGGCCCACCGGGAGGTTTGTGCCCCTTTTCAGGTGTGGTGGGGTGAGGACGTTATTGACCTCCAAGTGTGGTCACATGTAGGTGCTGTAGAGTTTCAAAGAGGGCTCCGCGGCGAGGTCACCCAGTTGTCCGCACACCAAGTGTAGTGCGGCATATGTTTTTGAGGCACCTCCTGCGTAACTGGGACTGGTGTCCCATTTCTCCGTCACCACTAAGCCAACGACTTCCTCCACGAAGTTGGGAGAAAGATGTGAACCACAGAGGAAAGGATGCCCCTTGTGGGTCAGAAGTGTGGAAAAACATGCACCAGCATTTGTTCAGGCTACATGCTGAGGCGTTGTTTTTTGCCCACTCCCTGGATGTTTCGAGATCGTTCTGTGATGCATTCAGAGCTTGACGTCATCAGCGTAAGGGAGAATTAGAGAGCTGATATGCATTGAGGGGTCATTCACGAACAGTAGAAATAACAAAGAACCTATAATCTCTCCTTGTGGTACACTGGAGGGCGATGTTCTCCAAGCTGAGTAGACGCTGTCGATTTTCATGTTGCGACAACTGCTTAGGCGAAATCCAAAAAAGACACGCGGATCGTGACCCTGAGGACCCAGATTCTTCAGTTGCCGTGGGGAGTCGGGAAGTTGGTGGCGCAGGATCTCCCCTTTCGAAGGCAGTGTTGAGCATCACTATAAGCTTGTTTTTTGTCCGAGCATTCCCTGGTGTGGTCGTCTGTCACGCTTTCCATAACCTTTAACATTAACGGGTAGGAAGCATTGGATCGAAAACTGCCCAGGTTCCGTACCTCTTCAACTTTGAAGATAGGAGAGGAGACGGTGCGCTCACACTCCTGTGGGAGCCTTTTTTCACCTGAGAGATCTTGAAAAAGGTTGCGGAGTGGTCCACCTAGGGTACTCGTACACTGCTTCGACACAGACGGGTGAATGTTGTCGTAACCAGGGGATTTTCCAGCATTTGCCTTCGACAGCTGATCAAGAGAAGCAGCACGAGCTATCTGCTGTTCAATTAACTTCCCTGTGTCGGCTAACGTTCGGACACGTTCACGCTGAGGGTGTGAATGCTTGCGTGATGGGGTGTTGAGCTGTATTGAGCGGTGGCTATCTCCTCTCCAGAAAGGTTTCTTTTCGTTGGGACCATTGATGACACACGACCCCTGGCCCTTAAGCTTACTCTGCTCTATGAATTGGGACAGGTTACCAGGGTGTACCCCAAGCTTCTGTTTGAGGTTGGGCAGGAACAAACTTTTGTCCTCCTACGCCCGGACTTTGCGTGGACTTCGTAGTGCTGCATATATGTCGCCATCATCCATTTTTCTGGAGAGCCTCCAGTTGGGCTATACTTTCTTCTAGACTTTTAGGAGGTTCCCAGTGCCTCGTTTTGGCCATGGGGTCTGCTTTCTGGGTGTCGTTTCCGCCAAGGGGAAGGTTCCAGAGATCTCCATCTCAATGATGTCACTCGTCAGTTTCCAGCGCTGGCCAACTGATGAACAGCTCCAATCTACCGACCAAGGAGCTATTGACAGACGTTGACTCATTCCCCCATAGTTTGAATTGCTGCAACAAAGGCAAGGGCGAGTTCCCTTCGACGACAACTCTTCTCCGATTACCATACTGAATACCGTTACAGCGTGATCACTGCTTCCATGCGGGGTTTGGAGCTGGACGCTTTCAGCCAACAGAAGGTTATCAGTCAACAGATAATCCGGTCCAGGCGGTTCGCCGTCTGACTCTCAGCGGTTATCGCAGCTAATCTTTCCGAACGGCGCTGCCATTTGGGTGGTGTTTAGCAGGTTGCGGTCAAAGTTTCGACCAACAGTCGTGCTACCTTGATCCGGGCTGAATTGAGGCGTCGAAGTCACCAGCTATTAGGATCAGTTCTTCCCTCATATTCAACACCGCGGACGTTACTTGGAGTAATTTCCGGCTGTATTCCATGTTGCTAATAGAGGGCCGATAGACTCCGCCAACCAGATGCTTGGTTTGTCCGACCGTGAAGTGATCCTATATTGGGTCTGGGAGCTTTGTCAGTACACTGCCAGCGATTTGTCCACTTTCAAACCAACCGTTCACGTACGCTTAAGCCCCTACTCTCCCTTTATGTTCTTCTTCTCTCCTGAACAAAAACGTATCATCCATGTCCGCTTTGGTGTCGTTGATGTCCCGCGTTAACCATGTCTCCATCTGGATTATAGTTTTCGAAACAAGATCTGAGCACTGGCGTTGGGGACCTAACATTCCACTTCAGAGTTCAGTCACGTTGCCATAAAGGCGCCTGGACGTGCTTCTCACAGTGTAAGATGTCCCTGGCCCAGCTGATAGCACAGTTTTGGATGCGATGGAGTTTTTGCTAACGGGCCGGTTCCACCGGAACCGGCCTGGTCAGGATTTTCTCTGGGTTGATGGGCGCAGCCGGTGCTGGGTGGGGGTTGTCGGCTGGACTCTCGGCGTGTCAGTGTAAGATGATGATTGCCTAAGCACAAGGAATATCTGCTGTTCCCTGGTGCAGTAGCGTTCTGGGTTTGCTCTGGCAGAAGCGAACGCTCCCGCTTATGGTGTTCCTGACTTCACACCACATCTCTAGCACTGTAGTTATAAATTCCGGGGATTTGGCTCTGACGGCTGTTGTCTAGGCTAGGCCATGTGTGTCAGGTGCGGAAGATGCGGGAACCTGCCGACTGCCGTCACTGCAACCCCGCTTGGCCCCATCTGCGCTGGTAACCATTCCCATCGTTAGACGTCATGGGCGCACTCATCCTCTGGGTTATTTGTTGTCAGTTCAGGTAGTCCATTGATGACCATGGCTGCGGGCCTTTAAGGATCAGATGCTTCTAGAGATGTCTTGCTTGCCGCTCATGACCGGTCAGGTCTAGCTCTATTGGTGTATGATCTGCTGATAATTAGCTTGTGCGAAAGCGAGAGCAACCTCCTGACCCCTTTGGTTGAGCCCAGAGTCACTCTCATACACGGAGGCACCCGTGGGGGTGAACTGGTGCCTCTGTACTTTTGCTTCTGGAGAGCTCAGGCTTGGCTTGGCACATAGGGCGTCCCAGTACGGCCTGCCAAACGTGTCCCTATGCCCCAGTGAGCTACCACCACGCACGGGAACGCCAAATAGAACGATGGATTTGGACCGGCAGGCAATGCCTTCGCCATCAATTACCATGGCTGTGTTTTCACGGGTTATTTAAACCTTCTTCCCCACCCCAACCCATTTATCGTGTTATCCGCTGGTGGCTGTCACTAGCGTGGCTCCACGCTTGGGATGGATGTGGCTGCCCCTGGTTCCTTGTGCGGTTTTGAACTGCTCGAGCCTGTGACCTTCGGTTGGCCATTACTGACTGCCTTTGAAGGGCAAATTCCCTTCATGGTAGTGGGTTGGACGAATGCCTGCATCTGGCATTACCGGGGGATTCCGTCAGCCACTTTCAGTGAGTCTAAAGCTGGGTGCGGTCTCAGAAGGCACTCTGGGCAGGTGCACCAAACCCATGCGCGTCATGAAGGTGTAGTACTGATTTGGTGCTTTTTTTGCCTATCGGCAGTATACCCACCTGTTGTGGCCGTTGCACTCGAAGGCTGCATCACCTTTGGTTGCGGTAAGAGCTCATGCGTCATGGTCATCGCCACATCCATGGGGCTTGGCCAAGTGCCTCTGTCTTGCTCTTTGACGTTTCCGCTTGTCGGCTTCCACCAGTGGCTCGGGATGGATGCCGCGTGACGATGGAGTTTGCAATTCCATAACTGGGGACAGTGGTGGGAACATTCGGGGTTCGGCCAACTTGGGCCTTTGGAAGTCATGACCATTTGGCTGGGTTTGACGCGGGTGGTGGGCTAGAATTCTTTAAAGCTTTCTTTATCACCTTTTGATACCTCTAAGCTCCAGCCCAAGTTACTACTGGGAATGACTTGATAGAAGCCGAACTCAGGGTGTTTTGGAGGCTGGATTGTTTTGAAGGTGGCACGCT